GCTCCGCGCCGCGTCGCCGCACGCGCTTCGACCGCGTCCCTATATCGGCGGCTCGCGGCGCCATGGCGACGCCCGACATCCCGGTCGACGTGCCGCCGGTCACGGGCCCGGAGATCGGCGAGTTCCAGCAGTTCGTGGTCAAGGGCGTCTCGGAGCAGCTCCGCAAGGAGGGCAAGGAGGACCAGCTCGGCGACTTCCTGAGCGCGTCGAAGGACTTCGGCAAGGGCGACCTCGGCGCGGACGACTTCTTTGGGATGCTCGTGGGCTTCTTCGGCGAGCGCAAGGCCCTGCTCCTGGCGCCGACGCTCGCGCGGCTGATCCGCTCCGACGACCGGCGCCGCGCGCTGCTCTCCGCCGCGCGCTGCGCCATGGAGGCCGTGCCCCTCGACGGCGGCGCGCCGCCGCCGGAGCCGCCGGCCGTCGACGTCGGGGCCGCCGTCGCCGACGCGATCCGCGCGGAGGACGCCGCGCCGCCGCCCGCCGCGCCGCCCGCGCCGGAGCCGCCGGCGCCGGAGCCCGTCGCCGAGCCGGCGCCGCCCGCGCCGGAGCCCGTCGCCGCGCCGGAGCCGCCCGCGCCGGAGCCGCCCGCGCCGGAGCCTGTCGCCGAGCCGGAGCCGCCCGCGCCCGTCGCCGAGCCCGCGCCGGAGCCCGTCGCCGAGCCCGCGCCGGAGCCCGTCGCCGAGCCCGCGCCGGAGCCGCCCGCGCCCGAGCCCGTGGTGCCGGAGGCCGCCGACCCCGAGGCGGACGCGGCGGCGAAGAAACGCGCGAAGAACAAAGCGAAAAAGGCGAAGCAGAAGGAGAAGAAGGCGAACAAGGGCAACGCGTCGCCCCCGCCGCTGCAGCCCGAGCCGGCGGCGGCGCCCGAGCCGGAGCCGGCGGCCGCGCCCGAGCCGGAGCCGGTGCCCGAGCCGGCGGCCGCGCCCGAGCCCGAGCCCGAGCCGGCGGCGGCGGCGGCGCCCGAGCCCGAGCCCGAGCCCGAGCCGGCGGCGGCGGCGGCGCCCGAGCCCGAGCCCGAGCCGGAGCCGGTGGCCGCGCCCGAGCCCGAGCCCGAGCCGGCGGCCGCGCCCGAGCCGGAACCGGAACCCGAGCCCGAGCCGGTGGCCGAGCCCGAGCCGGAGCCCGCGCCCGAGCCCGAGCCCGCGCCCGCGGCGCCGGCGCCCGTCGTGGACGACGGGCCGCTCGTCGTGCCCGAGGAGCTGCGCTACGTGCCCGGGTCGACGGCGCCGACGGCCGCCGCGGGCGCGCCCCTCGTCGCGCCCTACGTCGTGCCCGAGGAGGTCGCGCGGCCCGCGGCCATGCGGGCCATCGCCGCGTTCGCGAGCGCCGAGGACTGGCAGCTGTCCGTCGCCGAGGACGCGGTCGTGTCCGTCGTCGCCGTGCACGACGACGGCTGGACGGAGTGCAAGCGCGGCGACGGCGCCGCGGGCATGGTGCCGACGACGTACCTCGCGCCCGCGCCGGCCGCGGCCGCCGCGGCCGCGGACGACGACGACGAGGACGAGCTCGAGTGGGGCCGCGTGCCCCTCGCCGAGGGCGCCGAGGCCGCGGAGCTCCAGCGCGCCGCCGTGCGCGCCGTGCGGAGCCGCCTCGAGGAGCTCGGTCAGCCGCAGCGGCTCTCGGAGCTCGTCCAGGGCACGCGCGGCTACTCCGCGGGGTCCACCACGGCCGAGGAGCTCCGGTCCGCGCTCGCGGACCTGCTCCGGAGCGACGAGAAGGCCGGCGCGCTCTGCGAGACCCTCGCGCGCCTCGTCGCCGACGCGGGCAAGCGCCACGAGCTCTTCCGCGTCGCGACGCGGCCCGCGAGGCAGCCGAAGCCGTCCGCGTTCGCGAACGACCCGGACGCGGCTCCGGCCGCGCCTTCCGCCAAAAACGAGGACTTCTTCGCGGCCATCGCGCGCGAGACGGCGCTCAAGCACGCGCCGGCGCCCGCGCCGCCGCCCGCGCCCGCGCCGCCGCCGCCGCGGAACCCCTTCGGCGACGACGCCGCGGCGACGGCCGCGCACCTCGACGAGCGCGAGATCCTGCTCGCTAGGAGCCACGGCGTCGGCGCCTACAACCCGGACGTCATGAGCCGGCTCCAGCGGCTGCGCGAGGACGAGGAGCTCGCCCAGCGGCTCCAGCGCGAGGAGGAGGCCGCGCGCGGCGGCGGCGGCGGCGGCCGGTCGCCCGCGGCGGCCGCGCAGGAGCTCAGCGACGCGGCCATCGCCGCGGAGCTCGCGCGGACGCCCGAGCCGAGCCCCTACGGCGACACCAT